CCAGAGCATTCTGAGTGCACCAACTCCTTGGGAAGCTACAGTTGCAGCTGCCGAGCTGGATTCTCCTCTAGCAACTCCATCTGTGAAGGTAAAGAGGACCTGCCCTCCTCATTTACCTGCTTAATTAAGAATCACCTCAATTGATGATGCTATGAGGTAGGGGTCACTATCCCCAGTTTAGGAGTGAGAACATTGAGGCTCAGAGAGGTGAAGTGACTTGCCCAAGGATGCACAGCTATTAAGTGGAACAACCAGGATGCGAACTTCTGTTGAGGGCCCATCGTGAGTTAAGCAGTGGGTCAGGCAGTACTTGAGAGTAATGGGGGACTCTGTCCCTGGAACGATTTTCTCCTCAGGGGACACTAGAAACGTCTAGAGACATTTTTGATTGTCACACTGGTGGTGGTGGTGGGGTTGTGTGTGCTACTGTCATCAAGGGAGTAGAGGCCAGAGAGGCTGCTAAACACCCTACAATGCACAGTACTGCCTCCCACAACCAAAAATGATCTGGTCCCAAATGTCAGTAGGGCTGAGGTAGAGACACCCTGTGCTCGGGAGAGCTGAGACCCAGACCTCGGAACTTTTCCCTGAAAGGTATTTGACTTAAGGCCTGAGAGTTACCCTCATCCTCCCTCCCCTTCTGTATTGTCGGTCGTCATGTCTTGGGGAATCTACCCTCTAAACATGTCTTGAATCTTGACACACTTCTTCGTCCTTCACTCAGGCTTCATATTTACTGCAGCAGCATCCTCACCGGTCTCTCTCTGTCTCCAGTCTTGTCCTCTCAATCCATCCTCCTCACTGCCTCCAGAATGTTCTCACTGACACACCAGGGCTCCATCCTCCTGAGTGCACTGAGGTTCTATTGTTCTCTCTGTTCACTTATGGGGACCGAGACTCCACCCAGCGGGGTTTGCATTGATCAAGCCCTCATCACAGCTCCTTGGCTTGGACTCAGAGATATTTGAAGTCATGTCTGAATTTTCTGGTCCATTTGTAGCAGTTAGTTATTGCTGAGTAACAAATTACCCTGAAAGTCAATGACTGAAAAGAACTGCCATTTATTTAGCTCTTGATCCCATGCACTGGCAGTTTAGCTAGGGCTCTGCTGGTGAATTCTTTGGGTCTCAACCTTCTTTTTCCTGTGTCTGTGGTCAGCTGTGGTTGGCCTGCGCTATCTCAGATGACTGGAGCTCATCTGGGCTGATCCATCTTTCTTCCTGTTTTTCATTCTGTATTAGTCTAGTCTAGGACGTGTTCAGGTGACAGAATCAAGAGTCCCAAAGCATGAGCAGAAGCAAATAATCCTCTGGAGGTCTGAGATTGGAACTGGTACCACATCACTCCTGCCACATTCTACTGACCAGTGCAAGTCATAGGGCCAGCTGGATGAAGGGGTGGAAAACAAACTCCACATTTAAATAGAGGAGTGGCAAAGTCACATTGCACTGCACAAGCTGCATCCTGAGGTGTTGATACAGGGGTATATATGTGGCCAGAGAAGTACCACATCCTTGGCAGATATTTTTTGGATGGATGAATAGATGGATAGATGTATGTATGGATGGGTAGATGGATAGCTGAATAGATGCATAGATTGATGGATGGATGAATGGATGGGTGGATGGATCGATGGATCGATGGAAGGATGGATGGATGATTAAAACAGATGAACAAAGGAACTGATGAATAAACAGAGTACTTTGTTGTCTATGCCAAAAATGTGGACTACGACCATTTCTGCAGAGTACCATTGTTATGATAGTTCTGAAATTTCTTGTCACCCTTTTGCTTACATACTATTTGCCAGGGTTTATTCTCATGGACCCGCCTAACTGCAGGCAGGTTAGAAAGAAGGAGAGAACATGAGTATTGTGGAGCCTCAGTGCTGTGTGTCACAACTTAAGAGCATGTAGAGTGAATATTCACTTGACATTTCCTTTCCGAATTTCCTGCTCTGTCTTGATCCTGGTTTTCTCTTCCACTCACCAGATGTGGATGAATGTGCAGATCCCAGATCTTGCCCAGAGCATGCGACCTGCCACAACAGTCTTGGCAGCTACTCTTGTGTCTGCAACAAAGGATTTGTTTCCAGCAGTGGAAACGTGAGATTTCAAGGCCAGGGAGAGACATGTGAAGGTAGGTGGAGGGGTGTGTTGGGGAATCAGATCCCAGTCTGTTTGCAAAGACAGCACTTGTGGAGCACGAGTCAGGGTGGGTCTTGGCTGTGTTTGAAGACCTCATCAACAAAACCTAAGGCAAGAATCATTCATTCATTCATTCATGCATGCAGTGTTTGACGAAGACTTAGAGCATGTGCAACACGGCTGGTTCTATTCCGGGGATGGTGGATACAGCAGTGAATAACTCAGGCACACATGTTTGTTCTCCTGGAACTTACCCTCTACTGTGGGAGGAGATGAATAACAAAATATAAATGCATGAACATATTGTGTGTTAGGGAAAGTTAAAGGAGATGAAGAAGTATAAGGCAGCAAAGGTCAACAGAGAGTGCCGTGAGTGGACGTCTAATTTTAACAGAGTGGTAAGAAATGGCCGTGCTGAGAACTGTATATTTGAGAAAAGACGGGTACTACAGCAACGATTTTGTCCCCTCTGTGTTTGACCTCCAGTGTGGTGTCTGATACACTGTGAATATTAAACAGACATTTGAAGGATGAAGGGACATGCACCTTATTCTTTATGTCAACTCCAGTTGGAAGGACGATTCTACTGACAGGCACTAGGTTGTTTCTAATGTTTTACAGCTTCGTACAAAGCTGGGATGACATCCCGGTGATCTTCTCTTGACGTACAGTGGCCGCTCCAGTTTTCTGACTAGGAGAGGTGCGGGTGACTGGGTGGGAAACATAGGAGACTTGCCTTGAAGTTGTGTTTCCACTACAAATACACAGCAAGTGTTTGCTTACAGTGAAACGGCAGAGCAGGGTTGAAGGAGACTTGGGCAGAGGTACACGATGGTCCCACGACTGCACAGTTCCATGAGTTCCTCAATGGGTAAAATCCTAGAGGTGGCTTTGCCAGGTGTTCTAGTTCTCTAAGGGTGGGTAACAGACAATCTCCAAACTTAATGACTGAAAAGAGCAACAATTATTTATTTTACTCATGAATGAACCTTCTATTTGGGCTTGTTGGAGGAGGATGGCTTGCCTCTGTCCCACACAGTGTCAGTTGACTTGGTTCAACTGCAGGCTGGAGGAATCAGCCTGGAGAAGGCTCACTGACAAGGCTGGCAAGCTGGTGCTTGCTGTTGGCTGGCTGTTCCCCCAGGGCTGTGGGCTGCAGGTTTTAGTTCTGGTCTATGTGAGCTGCTTCTTCATGACTTGTTGGGCTACCTCAGTGTATGACGGGTCATTTCCAAGAATGAACATCTCAAGAGAACAAAGTTCATTATATTTTTATCACCCAGTGTGATATTTCTATGACCTAGCACGGTATTTTTACGACCTGGTGTCACTTCTGCTATAGTCACAAACATGCTCAGATTCAGATGGGAATCTAGACCCCAATGCCTCAGAGATGAAGTACCAAATTCACACTGAATGCAGGGCACATGGGATGCAAAACACTGTTTCAACCATCTTTGGAAAATGCATTCTGCTGCACAAGGTGAGACAGCTTTGCAACTCCAACTCTTTCTCTATCCAGATGTAGATGAGTGTTCTAAAAAGCCCTCACCATGCAGTGCTAACTCAGTCTGCAAAAACCTGCCTGGGAAATACAAGTGCAGCTGTTTGCCTGGTTTCTCTTCTCCTACTGGAAATGACTGGAACCCGGCAAAGCCAGGTCGTTTCTCCTGTACAGGTAACGCTCTCGGCTTCTCAGGTGTGGTCTTTCGTGGACGGCTGCCATTGAGTTGGATACCTGTGTTTCTCACCTTAGACTCTCATTCTTCTGTCTGCTCGCTCTCCTCCACTGCTCCTCAGACATCAACGAATGCCTCTCCAGCGGGGTCTGCCCAGAGCATTCTGAGTGCACCAACTCCTTGGGAAGCTACAGTTGCAGCTGCCGAGCTGGATTCTCCTCTAGAAACTCCATCTGTGAAGGTAAAGAGGACCTGCCCTCCTCATTACCTACTTAATTAAGAACCACCTCAATTGATGATGCTATGAGGTAGGGATCACTATCCCCAGTTTAGGAATGCGAACATTGAGGCTCAGAGAGGTGAAGTGACTTGCCCAAGGATGCACTGCTATTAAGTGGAACAACCAGGATTTGAGCTTCTGTTGAAGGAATACTGTGAGTTTAGCAGTGGGTCAGGCGGTACTTGAGAGTAATGGGGCGACTCTGTCCCTAGAACAATTTTCCCCTTAGAGGACACTAGCAATGTCCAGAGACATTTTTGATTGTCACGGTGGTGGTGGTGGTGGGGTTGTGTGTGCTGCTATCATCAAGGCAGCAGAGGCCAGAGATGCTGCTAAACACCCTACAATGCACAGAACATCCTCCCACAACCAAAAATGATCTGGTCCCAAATGTCAGTAGGGCTGACGTAGAGACACCCTGTGCTCGGAAGAGCTGAGACCCAGATCTCGGAACTTTTTCCAAAAAGGTTTTTGAATTAAGGCCTGAGAGTGACTCTCATCCTCCCTCTCCTTCTGTATTGTCAGTCATCATGTCTTGGGGATTCTACCTGCTAATTATGTCTTGAATCTCGTCCATTTGTAGCAGTTAGCTATTGCTGATTAACAAACTACCCTGAAAGTCAATGACTTAAAACAACTACTATTTATTTAGCTCTTGAGCCCATGTGTTGCCAGTTTAGCTGGGGCTCTGCTGGTGCATTCTTTTGGTCTCAACCATTCTTTTTCCTGTGTCTGTGGTCAGCTGTGGTTGGCCTGGGCTATCTCAGATGACTGGAGCTCATCTGAGCTGATCCATCTCTCTTTCTGTTTTTCCAGTCTTCACTACTCTAGTCTAGGACTTGTTCAGGTGACAGAATCACGAGTCCCAAAGCATGAGCAGAAGCAAATAATCCTCAGGAGGTCTGAGATTGGAACTGGCACCACATCACTCCTGCTGCATTCTATTGACCAATGCAAGTCATAGGGCCAGCTGGATGAAGGGGTGGAAAACAAACTCCACATTTAAGTAAAGGAGTGGCAAAGTCACATTGCACTGCACCAGCCACATGCTGATGCGCAGATAGGCGTGCCCATATGTGGCCAGAGAAGTACCACACTCTTGGCAGATATTTTTTCGATGAATGAGTAGATGTATAGATGAATGGATGGATGGATAGATAGCTGGATAGATGGATAGATATTTGTATGAAGGAATAGATAGATGATTCAAAGAAATGAACAAAGAAACAAAGGAATAAACTTTTTTCTCTGTGCAAAAAGAAAAAAAAAGACTAAGGCCGTTTCTGAAATCTATGAGGACTATGTTTTGAAATTATTTGTCACCCATTTGCTTACATACTATCGGCCAGAATTTATTCTCATGGCCCTGCCTAACTGCAAGGGTGGTTAGGAAGAAGGGGAGCACGTGTGTACTGGGGAGCCTCAGTGCTGTGTGCCACAAGGTAAGACCACGTAAAGCGAATCTTCCCTTGCCGTCTCCCGCTCTTCTGTGACCTGGGTTTTCTCTTGCACTCTCCAGATGTGGATGAATGTGCAGATCCCAAATCTTGCCCAGAGCACGCGACCTGCCACAACAGTCCTGGAAGCTACTCTTGTGTCTGCAACCAAGGATTTGTTTCCAGAAGTGGAAACGTGAGGTTCCAGGGCCAGGGAGAGACATGTGAAGGTAGGTGGAGTGGTGTGTTGGGGAATTAGGTCCAAGTCTGTTTGTGAAGACAGCACTGGTGGGGCAGGAGTCAGGGAGGGTCGTGGCTGAGTTCAAAGACCTCATCTGCAACACTGAATAGAATAATCATTCATCCACTCTTTGATCAGTACTTCTGGAGCATGTGCAACATGGCTGGTTCTATTCTGGTGATGGTGGATACAGCAGTGAATAACACAGGCTCAAATGTTTGTTCTCCTGAAGTGCATCTTCTACTGTGGGGGGAGGTAGATGTCAAGAAATAAATGCATGAACACATTGTGTGTTAGGGAAAGTTAAAGGAGATGAAAACAAATAAGGCAGGAAAGGCAGACAGAGAGTGCTGGGGGTGGCATTCTAATTTTAACAGGGTAGTAAGAAAAGGCCATGCCGAGAAGCTGATATTTGAGAGAAGATCCGATGGAAGTGAAGGACTGAGATGTTGGGTGTCTGGGGAAGGATGTTCCAGGAGGAAAGAAGAGCAGATACAGAAGTCTGGAGGCAGGATCCCAGCCAAGCTGCTAAGCTCTCCCATCAGTGTGCTCGTTGGGTCCTCCCTACAACCTGATGGCGTCATCCGTATTCTACACTCACTTCACAGGTGAGGAAACTGAGCCTCCATTGTTGGAATCACTCTTCAAGGACAAATAGTAGCAGGTGGGAGAATCATGTTCTCACTGTGCCTAGGTGTCACTTCACACCCGGTGCTCCCAACCACCATGCTATTCAGACTCCAAATGAGGAAAGTGAGATGCACAGAGATGAATTCCTTTGTCCAGTCTGTTAGTCTTCTCAGGCTGCCATAACCAAATACCGTAGGCTGGGGGCCTTAAACAACAGAGCCTTATTTTCTCACAGTTGTGGAGGCTGGAAGTCTGAAGTCAGTGTGCCGGCATGGTTGGGTTCTGGTGACGGCTCTCTTCCTGGCTTGTAGATGGCTACCTTCTGACTGTGTCCTCACGTAGCAGAGGAACGTCTTGCGTCTCTTCGTCTTCTTACAAGGGCACTGATCCCATCCTGAAGGCCCACCTTCATGACCTCACCTCAACCTAATTACCTCCTCGAGGCCCCTTGTGCAAATACCATCCCACTGGGAATTGGGGCTTCACCATATGAATTTTGGGGGGACATAATTCAACCCATAACTCCCAGTAACACACAGCTTATAAGCGACAGAGCCAGGCTTTGAACCCAGGATGTCCATGCCCTCCGCCCCTCCACTCTGATGCTGCTCTGATGGTCATTATTATTAATAGTATGGTGATTCCTTGGAGAGGAATTGAGATTCGGGGAAAGAGAAGAGTAAGTGAGTTTGATGCTGAGTAGACACAGGTGAGAGAATGAGCCTTCAAGAACCTACAGGGAATCAACGAATCTGGATCATGGAGTGTGAAGGGTTTAGAAGAAAAACATGAGCTTAGGTGGGAAGAGACTCTCAGGGTCTCGCATGTTCTAATGAGGAGTTTGGATCTGATCCTGAGCCGTGAGGAGCCTCATCAGAAGATTTGCACGAGTCATAAAGTTGCCTCGAAACACTTCCTTTCTGTAAGGATGAAAATGTCTTTAAGAAGGTGAGACTCAAGCCAGGGAAACCCATTGGCTTCAGTCAGCGATGGAGCTGGACCGCTGCTGCAGCCTCAGCATCCTTTATCCTTCTGACTTAGACCAGTTTTCCATGCTATGGTCAGCATGGTTTTTAGGTTAGTTGTTTGGGATGCTCATGGTAAGGGTAGAAGGAGGACGAGTTGGTGCTTAGATGTGGGTGAATGTTTCAGGAACTCGACTCTTTGTGGTCCCAGTTCCATCTGTACCAAGATCCTAGGAGAATACGGTTGTTCCCGCCTGCCTGGGTTCTTCTCGCCTGATGTTTGGACCCCTGAGAAACCAGAGGCTTTCAAACGTACGGATAATCCTCCCAGCCGTGCTGAGGTCTTCTCAATGGATGTCAAACTACCCCGAAATGTAGCAACTTGTAACAACCACCCTTTGTTCTTGCTCATGATGCTGCGTGTTGACCACATGGTTTTTCGGGGGAACTGGGATGGCTGGCAGGTCCAAAATAGGTTCACTTACATGACTGGTAGTTGGCAATGGTCTCTGGCTGGGAGCTCAGTTGGGCCCCTCAGTTGTTCTCATGGGCCTTTCCACAAGGCTGCTTGGGCTTCCTCAGAGCATGGCAGCTGGTTTTCAAGACGGAATGTTCCAAGAGGAAGAAAGCAGAAACTGCCAGTCCTTGTAAAGCCTGGGGCTTTAGAAGTCCGTGAGTGTTACTTCTACTGCATTCTTTTGGTCACAGTCACAGGGCCAGCCTAAATCCAAAAGAAGGGGAAATAAATTCTCCATCTCACTGGGAGGGCAACATGTGCGTACAAGAAGTGGGAGAATTGATGGAGGCCATCTTTGGAGTCTCTACCATATGGCAGAACACATTTTATAGTCTTCAATTCCTGCGGGAAATACATGCTTCCTTCCGTTGCAAATGTTATACTTCTTCTTATCCATTGATCTTCACTAGCTGCTGACATTGTTAGAAGCAGAACGATAGAGGGATAAAGTGGAAAGGCACCTTAGAGAGATTAATACAGTTCTAAAAGCTCCTAGGAAAATCTATTCAGAATTCCCAGCTAGGGCCAGAACCACGGACTTCCACATGCCTTTTCAGTCAAATTATCACCTCCTTTATTCGTTTTACTTATTCAGGCGTCATTTCACATGAAGGAAGTTCTCCTAGGTCCCCAAGTTTTGAAAACCATGCACTGAGTCCAGTGCTATATGCAAAATATAAATTCCACCTGTACTGTCTCTGACAAGAGCTCATGTAGTTGATGCCTAGATATTTCTGGAAGTGGGGGGCTCCCTATGAAGAGAAACCCACTCCTTGGTTAGAGATGTTTTCTGTGATACCAAGGGAAAAATCACTTCCCCACACCTTCCAACCATGGCTCATTCTCGGGTCCTTTGAGACCTCCAAATTAGCCTGCTTTCCCATCGCAGAGATGTCTCATCACAAATTTCCATGATAACGCCCAGTGCAATATACAATATATCTGCATAAGCTGCTGGTGTGAGTGTTGCCTATTTATTCCTCATGCTTTGTGAGTTGATAGAGAAATATGATTTTGCCTTTCCTTCATTCCTAATTATTTTTCTTCCAGAACATTCTATTCCACATATCCTCTGTGGTTCAGAAACCGTCAGAGGGAGAGGTAACCCCATGTTGCCATAGTGACCTGACTCCACTGTGTGTGTTAGACCAAGGTTTCTCAATCTTTGCACTATTGACATTTTGGGCTGGATAGTTCTTTGTTCTGTGTGGAGCTGTTCTGTTCATTAGTGGATGTCTGGTAGCATCTTTGGTCTCTACCCCCCAGACCCCAGGGACCACCAGAAATGTCTCCAGACATTGCCCAATGTCCCCTGGGGGGACAAATTGCCCTCAGTTGAAAACCACTAGCTTAGCATGATAGAACTTTCTGACTCTCCTAACCATCCAATACGGATATACTTGGTCAATGGGCAGCTTTCTTCCACAAGGTTATAAGAGAGATCCAGTCTTCTTGCATCTCTGATTCTTCTATCCCTTAGGACCTTGGAATCCCTGGTTCCAGCCAGTGGTGGGGAAAGAGAAACAAGGCACACCCCCTTGGCCCAGAAGTGACACGTCATAGCCTCTCACGTTTCATAAGCGAGAGCTAGTCACATGGCCTCATCCAGATGCAGAGGGTTCTGGGAAATGTAGTCCATGTAGGCTGCCATTTTTTAGTGACAACGCCATGCTTTGGAAGGGGAAGCATGCCTTTTGTTGCAGCGTTAGCCAACTCTGCCTCATGTTCATTCTCTATTCCACAGACATTGATGAGTGCCTTAATAAGCCATGCCTTTCCAATGCAAGATGCACCAACACCCCCGGGAGCTACTTTTGTACCTGCCACCCTGGCTTTGCACCCGGCAATGGACAGCTGAACTCCACAGACCAAGAAACAGAATGTAGAGGTGAGCAGAGGGTTTGCTGGACATCCCTGGAAAGAAGTATCTCCTTGTCCCTCTGGCTTGTTTGATCTTCTCAAGTTCTTTGCAGATATTGATGAGTGCCTCCGAGATCCATCACCGTGCGGTCCCAATTCCATCTGCACCAATGCCCTGGGCTCCTACAGCTGTAGCTGCATTGTGGGCTTTCATCCCAATCCGGAAGGCTCCTGGATATATGGCAACTTCAGCTGCGAAAGTAATACTCTCCTTGTGTGTCTTGGCAATGGACTCTGTGTCTTGCTTTGGTTGTAAAATCCTCACTGTACCCAACCTCTGGCTCCTCCTCTTACTTTCACCTCATTCATTCTCTCTTTTTGATCCATTCATTAATATACTCATTTGATAAATTATTTTTGAAGCATTAATTAATCAGTTAATTAATTAATTAACTAATCAAACAGGCCCCTGCACTAGCTACTGAGGATTCAATCCTGGATGTAATGTCAATGATACTTGCCCTCATATAGCTTATAGTCTATGGAAGGAAATAGAGAACACATACATAACTATTTAATAATTGAAAAATCATAGTGCCCTTTGGAGTGACTCATAGGATATTTAATATGCTCCAGGCAAGTGAATTTAAGCTGAAGCTTGAAAGAAGAGTACAAATTATCCAGATGAAGAGTGGAGATCACAGTGTGCTAGGTTACAGTATGTGCAAAGGCCCTGAGGCTAACGCAGAATGAGTGCTAGGGGAAATGTCATTAGCTGCATCTGAGCATGTTGGCAGAAGTCAGATTCTGCAGGAACTTGCGTGTCCTGTGAAGGGTTTTGGAGTCTTTTTGCCAAGAGCAGTGGGGAACTGTGAAAGGTTTCATTTTAAAAATTGTGGATTATCTGATACATTAAAACTGTAAGTAATTTATACAGAGGCAATGAAGTGTAATAAAATGAATATGTCCGAGGCACTCGCCAGCATAAGAACTAGACCATCACCAATGCCACTGCATTTTCTGCATGTTCCTTCTCTGCTGGTATCCTTGTCTTCTCCCCAGAGGGAACCACTTTCAACTTTGTATTTATAATTCCCCTAGTTAAAAAAAGTTCACCCTATGCATGCATTCCTAAACAACACCTTGCTTAGTTTCGTCTACATTGGAGCTTTATAAAAATGGTATACTATGTATAATGTTTTTTTAAATTGAGATATAATTGATATATAACATTATATTAGTTTCAGGTGTATAACATAATGATTTGATATTTGGATATATTGCAAAATAATCACAATAAGTCCAGTTAACATCTGTCACCCCACATAGTTACAAATTTTTTTTTTCTTGTGATGAGAACTTTTAAGATCTACTCTCTTAGCAACTTTCAAATATGCAATCCAGTGTTATCAACTGTAAGCACCATGCTTTACATTGCATCCCCCGGACTTATTTAATTTATAACTTTTGACTCCCTTCACCCATTTACCCATCCCCCACCCCAGCCTCTGGAAACTGCCAATCTGTTCTCTGTATCTATGAGCTTGCTTTTTTTTCCCTTTTAAGATTCCACACGTAAGTGAGATCATACGGTTTTTTTCTGACTTGCTCTTTTCATTCCGTATTACATGTCTCGGAGTCCCTGATGTCGTAGTGTGTAGCTGCAGTTTGTTCATTGCCACTGCTGTATAATAAGGCAAGGAATGGATTTTAAGCAAGGGGTGATAAAACCAGACTTGCCTTCTAATCATATCTTGCTGTGGTTGAAGTTTGATTTGGTTGCTTTTGTTTTCTTCCTAGGGGCTCCCTTCAAGTGTAAAGAAGATGTGTTAGCCAGAAATAAGCAGGTCCATCTATGCCAAACGAAAACAGCAGTGGAGCCTGAAGATGTAAGTATTTTTGAAGGTTCCTAGCTCTTGACGTGGTCCTAGAAGCCACTTAGGTAAGACGCTGTTTTGCAGTTTTAACAAAGGCAAAAGTAACGGTGGCCCAAACCAGATAGCAGTTTATTTCTCTCTTTGTAACAGTTTGAGTTTAAGCTGCTGAGGGCTGATGTGACGGCTCCAGAACGCTCTGCCGTCATCAACACAAGACTCCCTCATTGTGGTCCAGGATGGCTGCTCCAGCCCCTGCCATCACGTTCTGCATCCCAGCTGGTGGACAGGGGGAAGGGGAAGTGAAACGCACCGTCCTTCTCTGTGAAAATATGACCCAGTATCACTTCTGCTTTCACCTCATTGGCCAGAAATTAGGCACATGGTCACACGAGCTACAAGGAATGTTGGTAAGGGAGGCCATCGTTCCATCTAAAACCTGGGGATTCTTTTACCAAAAGAAGAAAGGATGTTGGGGGTCTCATTACCAGTGAAGGTGTTGCTGCTGCATCTGTGTGATCTGGGGCAGGTGATTCATAGCTGCCACACCAGGAGGAATTTGGACGTCTGATTCTCTAATGAAGTCATTCCAGTGTAAATGCTCCATGAGCATCTTCAGGAATTGATGTCTCTATTTTAAATATAAGCTTGTAAATAAGCTTTGGAATTCGCATGCACTACAGAGCATTATCAGGTTTTTAAAAAATTGCAGTGAAGTATACATGAAAAATTCAGCATTTTAAAGTGTACAGTTCAGTGGCATTTAGTACTCACAGTGATGTGTAACCACCACCTCTTTCTATCTCCAAAAGCTTTTCATCACCCCCAAAGGAAACCCTCTACCCGTTAGTGGCTATTGTCTGTTCCCCTCCTACTCCCCACCCCCGGTAAATGACAATCTACTTTCTGTCTCCATAGATTTGTCTCTTCTGGACATTTCACATAAATGGAATCATACACTATGTGGCCTTCTGTGTCTAGCTCCTTTCACTGGGCATCACGTTTTCAAGGTTCATCCATGTTGTAACATGTATCAATGCTCCATTCCTTTTTATGGCTGAATACTATTCCATGTAGACCACTATTTTTTCCACACATTTCCCCATCTCTTTACCCCACTAGACAGTTTTGCTGTCTGTTTCCTTTTGTTGTTTATGGAAGAGAAAGTTTCTGTGGTTCCAATTTTGATCAAGTGGTGAATTTTTATTTCCCTCAGAATTCGAGAGACTCGTGACACCTCAGGAATTCAGAATCGCTCCATGTCGGGGGCTCGATGGCCCAGTTTGTACCTTACGTGCTTGGGGGGGTAGAGTGATCAATACTCACGAATGCTCTTTCCTCTGGGGCACAGGTTGCCTTTTGCACACAGTTGAATGCCGTCCTCAGCATGCTGGATGATGCCTGTGAAAACACATCTGCAGTCGTTTCTCTGAAGGTAATGGAGGGGTCTTCATAATTGTGTTTTGAGGTTCAAGCATCTTGGGGCACACTTTGAGAGCAGAAAGTCCTCTTTATAATTAATAGATTGCGCATTAGTATTTAATTTATTACGGTTGTAAGGTTTTAAAAATTAACACACAGTAAAATTGCCCTTTTCTTTACCATCCCATGAGTTTTATCGCGTGAATAGAGTTATGCAACCACCACCACAATCAGAATACAGAACGTTCTATCTCCCAAAAAACTCGCTTGGGCTTTCTGTTTATAGTAAGATGCTGCCTCCAGCACCAGCCCCTGAAAATCCCTGATTTGTTCTCTGTCCTTACAGCTTTGTCCCTTCAAGAATGTGATCTAAATGGAATCCCACAAAATGTGGCCTTTTGAGTGGCTTCGTTCACTCAGCTTAATGTCTTCAAGATCCATCAATGTTGTGTTCATCAAGAGTCCCATTCCTTTTTGGGGGTAACCGTTCATGACATTTAGCACATTTAGAGTGTCATGCAACCATCATCACTGTCTAGTTCCAGAACATTTTTATCACCCCAAAAGGAAATGCCCTACCCATGAAGCAGCCTCGCCTCATCCCTCTCTCATCAGCAACCCGTTCTCTTGGTGGGAGAGAGAGGACAGTTGCTGTTTCATGGATGAGAGAGAGAGAGACAGCAAGCACACCTTTCCTTGCAGGATATGGCTGAGAACATTTCTTCCGTGCTTGAGCAAACGTCCACCTCGTCCAACCTCACCAGAGAAGCAATGTCCGCCCTGGCCGTAGTCTTACTGGAGAGCGTGAAAAGAACCACACTGGAAGCTTTCCTGAATCCCTCGGGCAATGTCAGTCAGACTATTCGGACGGAACACTTAGGTAGGCTATATCCTTCATGGCAAGGTCACGCCTGGGTGCTGATTTTGATGGGTGACTTGGGCAGTGTGATTCTCCATACACCATCTTCCCGACTGTTTCAAACCTCTGAACTCACACAAAGCAAGCCTATCATAGGAATGACATCTCCCATTTATTGATTGCCTGGCGTTGTGTTAAACCTTTTTTTTTTTTTTTTTTTTTGGTGAGGAAGACTGGCCCTGATCTAACGTCTGTTGCCAATCTTCCTCTATTTTGTATGTGGGACGCTGCCACAGAGTGGCTTGATGAGCAGTGTGTAGGTCTGTGCCCAGGAACTGAGCCAGCCATGCCCGGGCTGCCAAAGTGGAGCATGGGAACTTAACCACTATGCCACCAGGCTGGCCTCTGCACTGTGTTAAGAGTGTGTTGTCAGGCACTGTTTGTAGGGTGTCATTAATTTATGCAACAAGTATTTTTTGGCTGTCTACTGTGTGCTGGGTGTTAAGATATGACAGTCATTTGCTGTGTTCAGATATTTCCAGCTCTTTCTTCTGGGCCTGTGGTGGGATTGTACTGCCAGGCTTGGGGTCAGGCAGGATTTTGTGATGAGTTTAGGCTGGTGAATTGTGAATGGAGTACCTTCCAGACACTTCTCTCCCTCTTCCCTAGGGACGGGCAGTGTTTCAGATCACAGTTTCTCCATCTGCGTGGGTCCCAGGGCAGGGATAACACAGAGCAGGGCCCCAAGTCCATTCATGATGGACACAAAGCATTAATGAGAAATTGATAATTATTTCTAATCCTCTAAGATTTGGGGCTGTTTGTTACTGCTGCCTGACCGATCCTCTCCTGACTGATACGGCTCTGGCTCTCCCATCCTGAACATGCTTGATGGGTGCCTGCATGGAAATATTGAGTACCATATGCCAAGTGGAGGAGCATCCCACTCCTGGTACTTGCTCCCTGCTAGGAAGTTCCATCCTAATAGATGCCCAGGAAGTCGAGAGGTGGAAATAGCATATTTGTTAAAGTTCCACCAGTAGTGAACAAAATTGTCCTCGTGAATCTTATATTTTAGAGATAGATATCTGGCATACCAGATCAGGCTAGCTGTGCTGAGAAACACACAGCAGGCTAAGGAAGCTCGAGATGGTCAAGATTAGGAGGAGCATTGCTATCTTATACAGTGCGGGTAGGGGAAGTCTCATTGGGGTTGGGACCTCAGGGAAGGGAGCCGTGGAAATATTTGGAGAAAGAGTAAGGGTGGGAATACTTGGTGAGTTCAAGGAAGAATGAGGAGTCCAAGGTGTCTGGAGTGGGGCAGAGGATGGTGAAAGCTGCAGGAGAAGGGGTGAGGAAAGAAAGGGAGAGGCAGATTTTGTACACAAATGTAGGGACTCAAGACTTTATTTGAGGTAAGAAGGCAGAGCAGGATCAGAGAGTTCGAGAACAGGCATGGCATTATCTGGCTTGTATTTTTAAAGGGTGCCTCTGGTAGAATTATCTATTTTGTTTTCATGAAGAGTCCTGTAATTATTGCCACGTTGCAGGTGAAGAATCTGAGGCTCAGAGAGGTTGAGTCATTGCTCAGGTTGGCACAGCTGGTGAGCGGCAGAGCTGGGTTTCCTAGTTACCTCCGTCTGACTGCAGAATCCAAATCTTCGTCCACCATACTGGGCTTGCCCTGGTCCCTTCCTAATTCCTTTAGCTTTGTAAAACATGTCTAAATTTGGAGTATCCAGAGAGTTGTGACTGTGTCGCCTTCTATCACTGTTGACTTCAACCCCATCTCTTCCTGATGCATCCCCTAGGATGTGAGAGCTCACTCTTATGGCTCCACCTGGGTTTCTCATGTTTGGTGCTACCATCCTTAACCTTTCACCAAGGGGCTCAAGATGTTTCCCATGATGATCCAGCCTTTCCGTTCTTCCCTTTGCTGGCAATTATACGTGCTTACCTTTCTCGGACAGGACCCACTTTCCGGGTGACTGCATGCAAACTCTCCCTTTCTCTTTTTAGATGTTAATAGCAGAGTTATCAAGAACGAATGCTCTGAAGAGAACATGGCCTTTAGCTTGAAAGCCAAAGGGGATAAGATGACGATTTCATGCTCCACAATTAAAGAATCTGGATCCACAGGTACAGACCCACTCCGGAGAATCAGGGTGGGTAGTTATGGTACACTCAGTCAACAAACACTTATCGATCACCTCTTAGGTGCCAAGACCTATGCCAGGTGGTGGGGAAATCAATGATGGGAGAGGCAGAAATGGCCTCAGGAAAGTTTCCCACCTGCTAGGAAAGGCAGACATTGAAAAAATAATCTTGCAGTACCGGAGTATTGAAAGCTTACCTATCTAATACAGCAGCCACTGGCCACTTTTGTCATTCAGCACTTGAAATGTGGCCAGGTTGTGAATTTAAAATACCTACCAGATTTCAAAGACTTGGTCCAAAAAAAAAAATGGAGGATGTAAAATAGCTCACTCATAATTTTTTCTATTGATCAAGTGTTGAAACGATACTATTTTGCATGTATTGAATTAATATATTATTAAAATGAATTTTACCTGTTTTCTACTCTAAAATGTGGCTATTAGAAAATTTAAAATTGCGTATGTGGCTCATAGTATATTTCTAGCAGATAGTGCTGATCTGTATCAGGGGCTGGGAAACTTTTCCTGTAGAGGGCCGCTTTGTAAATATTTTAGGCTTTGAGGGCAACACAATTTCTGTCGCAACCATTCGACCCTGCCGTCATCATGCAAAAGCATTCATCAGCAGCGTGTAAATGAATGGGTGTGTCTGTGTTGCAATAGAGCTTTTATTTAAAAAAAAAAAAAAAAAAACCATGCCATGGTAAGATAAGCCTGTAGGTCACTGTCCACCTTTCCTGATCTACATGCTGTGTGGGAGGCACAGCAAGCAGACCTGGGGCACATCCCTGGAGACCACCAACATTGAAAGGGGAAGCCCACCAAAGACACTGAACAAAAATGACCGTCAATGTTGGAGGGGAATTTCTTTTCCACTGTTGAGTTGAATCGTCCTTTAAAAACCCAAATTCAAATTTATTTGTAAATGTAGCTAAGATTTCTCCAAGTGATAGCACCACACGATTTTTTTCCTATGGTTCTGGGGAGGGTCACCAATCGGAAGCCCACAGGTATTTCAATCCTCAGAGCGGGCTAGTGAAGATTCAGGAATGCATGGGATATTAAAGTGTGTATACTAGTAACTACTGAGCAAATGATTCCCTCTTTTTTTTTTTTTTTTTTGCACTTGGGGGAAATCGCAGAGATCAGTGGGGTGGCTTTTGTCTCCTTTGCGGGTATGGAGTCTCTTTTGAACGAGAGCTTCTTCCGAGACTCTCAGACGCCCATGGCCAACTCCAAGAGGAAGCTGAAGATTAATTCTCGTGTCGTCGGGGGCATGCTGACAGGGAAGAAGAAAGACGGCTTCTCTGAGGCAGTCAACTACACTCTGGAGCACCTTGAGGTTTGTGAAGAGGTTTCTACTGTGCCCCCATCTATCTATTGGGGACTCCCCATCTCCTAGGGGGCTTAACTCTCTTTTTTTTTTTAATTGAGGCAACACTGGTTTAAAACATTATAAAAATTTCAAGTGTGCATCATTCTATTTCAATTTCTGTATAGAATACATCATGTTCACCATCCAAAGACTAATTACCTTCCATCATGGCACTCATGTGCCCTGTCACTCCATTTTTCCTCCTCCCTCCCCACTTCCCCTCTGGTAACCACCAGTCTAATCTCTGTATCTATATGTTTGTCGGTGGTGGTGGTTATTCTTATCTTCTACTTATGGGTGAAATCATATGGTATTTGACCTTCTCCATCTGACTTATTTCACTTAGCATAATACTCTGGAGGTCCATCTGTGTTGTTGCAAAAGGCAAGATTTCATCTTTTTTTTTTTTTTTTGAGGAAGATTAGCCCTGAGCTAACATCTGCTGCCAATCCTCCTGTTTTTTGCTGAGGAAGACTGGCTCTGAGCTAACATCCATGCCCATCTTCTTCTACTTTATGTGTGGGGAGCCTACCACAGTGTGGTTTGACAAGCGGTGCGTAGGTCCACACCCAGGATCTGAACCAGTGAACCCCGGGCCGCCGAAGTGGAACGTGCGAACTTAACCACTGCACCACCGGCCTGGCCCCATAACTCTCATTTTTAATGGGGACCTGTTAAGGTAGCAAGCTTCCACAGTTTCTAGCAACTTAAGCCAGTCTTCAGAATCCACCTCTAGAAGAATAAACTCTCCTATTTCTCTGTGGCATTCTTCCACTCATCAATGGGCAAGCTTTAGGTTAAACTAAGTAACATTGATGTACATACATTTACAGAGACATTAGCTGCATTAGCTACAGCCAAGTCAGTGATAGAGACAGATCTGGCATGCAAGACTTTTCTTTTCATCACTGCATGATGAAATATCAGCATTTCTCTCCATTCCGTACAGAAGATACCTGCATCTCTTGCCCCAAATGACTCTTGGGGTTGGTCACATTGAGTCCGTTCAAGAGGGATTCTCAGGTGACCAAGACCTTTGATTTTTCAGCCAAAGAAGAAGACTGAGAGCCCCATGTGTGTTTCCTGGAGCACAGATGAGGAGGGCGGTAGGTGGGTCCCATCTGGCTGTGAGATCATTGAAGTTTCCGAGACACATACCGTCTGCCGCTGTAAACGAATGGCGAACCTGGCCATCATCATGGCTTCTGGGGAGCTCACGGTCAGTACTGGTGCTCTGTGCTCTGTCTCCCGAAATCCAATGGGGGAAACGTTGACTACACACTTGTCGTGTGCCTCTCATGGCATTGAGTGTTTGGGGAGGGAGTCAAGGAAGACAGAAGGGGTGTGCGCTAGACCTCTGCCCTTGGAGAGTTCATGGTCAAGTTGGGAAGCCATGACCCTCATGTATCAAGTGGGAAATGACCCTAAACAGGTACAGCTCAATAACTATCACAGACTCTATTCACTGAGCACAGATCTTGTGCCGGACCCTTTATTTGAAGTGTTTTTAGACCCATTGCCCAGGATCGGATGCTGAGGCTCAGCAGCCTGCCTGGTCGTGACGCTGGTAACTGGTGGAGATGGGACTTGAACCCACAACAGGCCAGCTCCAGAGGTCTCTTTCCACCAAACCATACAAATGGAGCAAAAGGTTGTGCTGTGGGAATTCAGCCATGTTTCAGTGAGAGCCGGTGATGGATCAGGGGAGAAACGAAGTACACAATGAGCCTTGGCAACCAGGTAGACTTTGTAGAGAGGGAAGACATCCTCATTAGTGCTGTGGTGAGCTTCCTTACCTCTCATGCAAGATCTGAGGTTAATTCCCTACGAGGGAGGCCCTAACTGCTATTTGGAGGAGTATGTAGCTTAGGACATAACTGGATCCAGAGCAAGACTTGCTTAGTTTCAAGTCCCATCTCTATCACTTCCTAGCTGTGTTTCCTTGAGCAAGTCGCTCACCCTCTCTGAGCTGAGTCCAATTCTCTCATCTCAAAAATGAGAACAAGAAAAAAATAACTATGACAGCTAACACTTAACAGGGTGCATAATGTTTCTGGCACAGTTGTGAGTTCTTTAAGTATTTTTGCTGAATCCTCCTAAAACAACCCTATAAGCTAGCTGTTATTTTCAGTATCCTCTTTTTAACAGATGAGGAAACTGAGGCACAGAGAAGTTAAGTGTCTTGCCCAAGCTCACACAGCTAGAAACCAGCAGAACAGAAGTCGGTTCTCTTAAACGATAAGTCACACTATCTTAGAGAAGAGCTCATGAGATGGTGCCCGGCATATCTTTAACACACAGAAAGTGTACAGATAAATTTAAAATTAATTTAAAAATTAATTATGAATCATGGCATAGGGGGAGGACTGAGCTTGTCGTTTCCACTCCCAGGAACTGAGGCGTGTCTAAATGCCTCTGTAGCAGTGCTGGCTCCGTACAGGAAAATCAGGAGCCACTCTGGGTGTTTCAAGCAGAAAGAGTTTGAATGCTGGGAACTGGGTGCTCACGAAATCTCTGGAAGGGATGCAGGAGTTGCAGTCATGGGGCTGCCCCTTGGATTTTGGCTTTAAGGTCACCCCTCTGCACCCCTCTGTAATCCAGAGGTCAGAAACTGCTTCTGTCAGGTCACCCCACGCCCGTGAAATTAAAGACGAGACAGTTGGAATGTGGAGTCCAGCCATGGTTCACTCCTGTCTGCAGAAAGCTGGCATCTGTCCCTATCCTGCCTTCCAAAACTTTCACGCATGCTCCTCATTGGAGAACCCTGATGACCTCCAGGACCTTAGCCCCAGGGGATTCTGGGAAATGTAGTTTGTCGACATCGGAGGGTGAGATGTAGGGTAGGGATGGGAATGGGTGCCCATGGATTCCAAAGGATGATGATGGACAATATCTACCTCACTCTGAGCATCAGAGGGAGAAAAGGTCCCCAGGCCCTTTCTGCTCAAGCCAAGAGTCTGGATAATTCTTTGTCCTGCCCAGGGTGTGTCGGTCCCTCTCTGAGTGGTGTATCTCTTTCCTGACAGATGGAGTTCTCCTTGTTCATCATTAGCCACGTGGGCATGATCATCTCGCTGGTGTGTCTCGTCTTGGCCATTGCCACCTTCCTGCTCTGCCGTGGCATTCGCAGCCAAACCACCTCCCTCCACCTGCACCTCTGCGTGTGCCTCTTCTTGGCCAAGCTTCTCTTCCTCACGGGTGTAGACAAGACTGACAACGAGGTCTCACATCCCTCAGGCTATGCCCCCACATCCAGCCCCATCATCTCCACATCTGCCTCTGCTCATCCCTACTCAGCTCCCTCTATGCTAGTGCCCACCTCAGGACCTTTGCACATGCTGTGACTTCTTTCAATAATACTCATCCCCCAGCCCCTCAATCAGTTGACTCCTTCTTGTGATAGGTCTCAGCTGAAAATAACTTCCCTGACCATGTTATATATTGTGGTTATCCCTCCTATCACTCTTTAAACCATTAGCTCTTACCTGGGGTGATTCTGCCCCCTAGGGGACACCTGGTAATATCTGGAGACATTCTTGGTTGTCACCACTGGAAAGGGGCTGCTGCTGGCATCCAGTAGGGGGAGGCCAGGGATGCTGCTCAACATGCTACAAGGCATAGGACGGCCCCCACGACAGGAAAAAATGTGGCAACAGCGTTACAAATGTCAATAAGGCTACAGTTGCCAAACGACTCCATTTTTCTTTCTTTCCTGGGACTTATTTGAAACCATATTGATTAGTTCCTGTTTTACTTGCCGTGTGGCTGCCTCCCCGACTAGACTGTGTGGCCTGTGAGAGCGAGGACTTTAGCCAATTTGCCCCTATAACTGTGCCACGAACTTGTAGGCTCTCCGAGTTCTTCTAAAAGGAGCACGACTGACATTTTGGGTGAAATGAGGATGCTTCGTGCAGATCAATCCTTCTCGCTGCAGAATGCCCAGCTTCCCCGATCCCTTGAGAACTGAGTGCTAGTGGTGTCGGACTCCCGTCCTTTGACCCGGGGGTGGGCAAACTCTTTCTGTAAAAAAGGCAGATCTAAATATTTTCAGCTTTTGTGGACCCTACGGTCTCTGCCGTGACTCCTCAGCTCTGCTGTTTTAGCACAAAAGCAGCCGTAGAGAATAGTAAAAGGTGTGGCTGTGCCAGTGAAACGTTATTTACAGAACAGGCGGCCGGCCCAGTGGTCGTAGTTGGCGGGACCCCCCTACCCCCCACCCCAAATCTTCAAACATCTCCTAAAGTAGAGTGATCATGGATCGGTCCCCCCTGCCCCCAGGCTCTCCCAGTTTTAGCATTGACATCGCATGTCCTGGAAAACCTCAGTTTCAGGCAAACCAGGACGATAGGTGACCCCACCAAAGGGAGGGAGCTGCCCGCGGTGAAGAACGTCCCTGTAAATGTTTGTGGAATGAATGAATGAATGAACGGGTCGTGTTTGGGGAACGCCAGTCGGAATAGCCCCTCCCCTGCCGTCGTCCCCTGAGCGGGCTCCCTGCGGCGGGGGGACCCTGAGTGCCCGTGCTTCTCCCCTGCAGACGGTCTGCGCCATCATCGCGGGCTTCCTGCATTACCTTTTCCTCGCCTGCTTCTCCTGGATGCTGGTGGAGGCCGTGGTGCTGTTCCTCACGGTCAGGAACCTGAAGGTGGTGAATTACTTCAGCTCTCGCAACATCAAGATGCTGTACCTCTGTGTCGTTGGCTACGGGCTCCCAGGGGTGGTGGTGGCTGTCTTGGCCAGCGTGCAACCTCAGGGCTACGGGACGCCTGATCGGTGAGTGACATCCCTCTTTCTCCCTAAGGACCCTGCTGTTGGGGTTCAGGATGATAATTCCATGAACAACAAGAAGAGCGGTGACAGTAGCGGTAGTTGTGGCTACCATTTATTGTATTTGGTCTCAGGTTGCCATGGTCTGGGGGCTGCCACGTACAGTCACACAGGTTGAGCACTGAACAAATCCAGGAGCCACTGTTTGCACGATAGTAAAGGTGAAGGGCGGTGACGTGATAGTGAATTTGATTGTACAGTTTTCAGAACAGTGTCTGGCACAGAGTAAAGCATTCTACACATGATTCTGGTCACCATCGCTAGTACCACTGTCTGTTTTACAGTGAGTTATGGTCATCACGTGGTTCCATGCCAGGCGATTTCAGGTAGGATGTTGGTGAGGACTCAGTTTAAAAATATTTTCATATTTATTTTGTAGGGCATTAGAAAGAAAAATTGCCAGCATATCAAAATCATGATTTCACAGACAGGATTCCATTATATAAGTAAAAAAAAAAAAAAAGGTGAGTCAATTTTGAGGAGAAAAATTAGATAAAGGGCAGAACAAGCAGTATGTGCACAGGGAAGAGACTGTAAAGGAATTTATGTTAAGTAAGCACCCATCGTAATCTAATTCCTGTAAGCTTTACAAACATATATTATCTCTGATACTTCTTGACAAAATTCCTATGCCTCCACTGTGTACAGCAGCACCTTTCAGCTATTCTATGGTGTAAATAGTGTCCCCTGGATTTGTGCAGTGTACAACCTGTGCTCCTGGACATGGCGGCCCTGAAGCCAATAGTACATAAAGTAACAGCTTCATAAATGGTGGCTACAGAGGGAATTGAAGCTCAGTACGGTTGCAGAACTTGCCCAGGGTCACATGGCTAGTAAGTGTCCAAGCGGAGTTCAGGTCTGACTGTCTTGTCAGGATGATAGCGACAGAGAGGAGAAGGAGCAAATATGGGGTGCATTCGTGACCAGGCACTGCTCTGGGTTACCGGGCTCAGACCCAGTACCTCTGGGAGACTGTGCAGGGCACGCACCCCAGTTAACCCAGCCAAGGGGTGAGGGAGCTGGCGTATTTACCCACCAACTCCCTCCCATCAGCCACTGCTTGCTCCTGGGAGAACTAAGTCTCCAGCACTTCCAGTCTGCTGCCCTCAGGCAGAGATGCAGATGCTGATGCGGGAAGCGGCCAGGATGGACGTGGTCCTTCCTGAAAGGATGTGAACAGCATCTTCTCGCGATGCAAACATTTTCCTGCCTTTTATTCACTCTATTACTGGAGACGCACCTTCCGGGCCAACATCTGGTTGGCTGAACTTGATGATTTTCCTTCTCTTATGGGGGGAAGCACACTTCTGCTAAAGGAATATTGAGGTGCTTTTACTGAACGTGGTGGAATGATTGTCGGGTGGTGAAAACAGCAAATATCTGCCAGAGACATGATGGAAAGAGGCAATGCCTTCTCCCTTCCTTCTTCCTCCTTCCTTCCTTCCTTCCCTCCTTCCTTCTTACTTCCTTCCTTCTTCCTTGCTTCCTCCCTCCCTCCTTCCCTCCCTCCTTCCTCCTTCCTTCCTTCCATCCTTCTTTCCCGTCCCCCTCCCTCCCTTCCTTCTTTCCTTTCTTTTAACAAATAATTATGGAATGCCTCATCCCTGCCAGGCTTTGCAGAGTTCTAGGTATTCAGAGAGGAACAAAACATTCAAAGTCCAAATTCTTATGCAGCTCATAGTCTGGTAAGGGAAGAAGGACAATTTTCAAGTGAACAAACAACTAAACAAGATAATTTATGATACGAAGAGATGCTCTAAAAAAGGCAGCAGGCTCTGCTAGAGAGGGGCCAGGAGTAGGGAGAGGGTACTTGGCTGGGGGTGGTCAGGAGTGGCTTTTCAGAGTAGGTGACATTTGAGCTGAGATCTGAATGATGAATGACGAGGTGTGCCAGTGGAAAGTTCTGGAAGGGCACGAAGTGAATATTTCAGGAACATTTGCCCCGCAAGAAGGTCTGAAAGAGGATTTACTGTGGTCCAGAGAAAACTGAAATTCGACGAGCCCCATCATGAGAATTTCCGTCTGGGTCTCATCTCCTAGGATCCTCCTCCATTAGTGCACCTGTCAGGGCGTGAGTAACTGTAGGGTCGAGACCCCCAGACGAGCACTGACTCCCGTTTCTCTCCGTAGCTGCTGGCTGAAGACAGAGACAAAGTTCATCTGGAGTTTCCTGGGGCCAGTCTGCGGAATCATCGTGGTAAGCAAATTGCTTGGGGCCGAGTGTTCTGGAGCAGGAGCAAGGAGCGTTGAAGGATTGGGAAATGCCCGTGGAAGTTGTGTAGCTGCGGTCACCTATTCTCAAACACCCTCCTTTCTGATCCTCGATTCTTGAGATTTCCAAGTTAGAATGTAATTTCTTTGATTTGGGATTTTTTTTTTTTATGCCAACTTGAAAATGCTCCTGGGAGGGACCCCAGTCTTATCTGTCTTTTGTGTTTCTATATGAACGGGTCTGTCCATCTCTTCTGAGTGCAGATATTAAATGAGAAAAAAAGGGAGAAAGAAATTAAAAATGATCGGCGGGGAAAGAGGAGAGGGCAATGGTGGGACGGAGGCAAAGGGAAGTCTGATGTCCTGAGGGTTAGGGCTTCAGTATATCTTTTTTAGGGGGGACACAGTTCAACCCATAACAGGGCCCTGGTGTTGATGCTAACTTCCCTGGTGCCTCCAGTGGAAAGAAACAAAGATCATTTTAAATGAGAACAAACAAAGGTGATTTATTCAGAGATTGCTCCAGTGAGAAAGTCAGCCACTCTCACTTGCATTTGCGAGAGACTCAACAGCAGACAGAGGAGTGGAAAAGCTTTACAGAGGGAGACAGAAGGCTTCAGACATGCCCTGAGTGGAGGCTGTTAGCATGGGGAGGCAATGGGTGGGCTAACTTGAAGCAGGCGTCCTATATGATTGCTTGGGGGGGCATATTGGCTTTCTCCTTTTGGGGCTAAGTTGGAAGCAGGGGAAGACATTCAGGAGGCTGTCAGTTATTAATCAAGTCTTGGTCGTTTAGGGTCAGTTGCTGCAGGACTTCTTGTTTGACTTCCTGGAGTGGTTACTGCACACTATGTGTTGGAGTTCTTTTTTTTTTTTTTTTTTTTGGTGAGGAAGATTAGCCCTGAGCTAACATTTGTGCCAATCTTCCTCTACTTTGTACGTGGGATGCCACCACAGCATGGCTGATGAGTGGAGCAGGTCCACACCCCGGATCTGAACCCGCAAACCCCAGGCCACCAAAGTGGAGCATGCAGAACTTTAACCACCCAACCGTAGGGCCAACCCCCTGAGTTCTATTTTTATAGATGGTCTGGCCATCGTCTTCTTGTATGTCCAATCTCTCGATCCCTTCTGCCTGACTTTGCAGATCAATTCCATCCTCCTGACTTTGACGTTGTGGATCCTGAAGCAGAAGCTTTCCACCGTCAATGCTGACGTCTCGACGCTCAAAGACAACAGGTGCGGTCCCTCCTTCCTTTCACCTCCCCTTCCAGTCTCCCTTCCTTCCTTCCATAAATGTTCATTGAGACCTTTTGTATACCTGGTCCTGTGCCCAAGACAGAATAGCACAGTGTCTGGATCTGGGGGGCTAAACCCCGAGCTCTACCACTCACAAGCTGTGTGACCTTAGGCAAGTGACATAACCTCTCTGAAACTCAATTTCCTCATCTGTAGAATTGGGGTATTAATATTGCCCACTTTACGTGGCTTTTGAAGCATTTAGCACAGTCGTTAGGAGAAGTGAGTGTTTCATATATAGAAACTATTAGTACATTTTCTAAGTCTTCTCCTGTGCATTCATAGTAGAAATAGAATCATACTATTTTATTTTTATAACCATTTTTTCTCTTAATAACATGTCATGAAATTTCTCCTGTTTAATTAGAAATTTGCCGATGGTCCTTTTTTGTGTGTAACATTTCAGTGTGAGGACACAGCACAATTTATTGAAATAATCCCTCATTCATGAACATTTAAGTTGCTTCTGATTTTTTTTTTTTGCTATTAGAAACAATATTATCTTGAATATCCATGTAAGGAAACCTTCTTCCACATCTGTGGTTATTTAATCGTAATACTAGGCATGAAATTGCCTGAGTCAAGGGTCAGTTGGATTGTAACACTTTCAGTATATATTGCAAATTGTTTTCCAGAAAATTTGTTTCCATTTACGAGTGATTGTTTACCTCCAGCTTTACCAGCATTAGAGTTTATCGCATTTTATTGTTTTGATGATAAATGAAATACACTATCTCATTATTTTAGCTTGATAGACATTATTTTATCTTACACAGGTGGACTTTTTCATATTCTCATAGACTATCTATGTTTCTTAACTTCATCACTTAACTAACGTTCATTTTAAGAACCGACCCAAACCACACATTGTCTAGGTTTTATTGTTGGTGAGCTGATCATGGTCCCTTGTTTGTTTTCCTGTCAGTGTCCGATCCTCCATCAATTAATGGATGGAGGATTAATGGATTAATGAAATATTTTTTCCTAAAAATTATTTTTAGAAAGTTAATGCAAGAAGGTAAAATAAAGTCAATACATGCCATGGTGAGAAAAATGAAGCAGTAGAAACAGAACATATGAGAAGTAATTCCTTCTCTTTTCCCTGAATGCCTGGATTTCCAGATCTCTCCCACTTCGAGCGACCATTATCACTGGAACTGATCTTCCTTCCAGAATATTTATGCTCACACGTACACCTTCTATCACATAAATGATGGGATACTGTACATATCATTCTCCTCTTTGTTTTTTTCCCACATAATAGGTAGCTTATTTCATATCGATACTTAAGGTTAAAAACAACTAACAAAAATGTTTATTTTGTGCCAGACCCTGTTCTAAGCACCTTTAGGATCTTTCCATCTCATTAAATAATCTGTAGAACAAGCTTATGGTGTAGGCATTGTATTTTCATCCTTATATCAAAGTGAGGAAACTGAGGCACAGTGAGGTTAATTAATTTACTAAGGCCACAAAGTTAGTGAATGGATCAGTCAGAATTTAAACATGGGCAGTCTGACCCAGAGCCTAACCCACTATAGTATATTGTCACTCTCAGTTAAAAAATAGTTTTATAATCTGATTTCTGTCTCTATGGATTTGTCTATTCTGGACATTTCATATAAATGGAATCATATGCTATGTGGCCTTTTGTGACTGTCTTCTCTCACTGAGCATCATGTTTTCAAGGTTTGCCCATGTTGTAGCGTGTGTCAATGCTTCACTCCTCTTCATGGCTGAGTAATATTCCACTGTGTGGATGGACCACGTTTTGTTTATCCATTCATCTGTAGATGGACATGTGGGTTGTTTCTAATTGGGGGAGAGGGGAATTGGGAATGACTGCTTAATAGATACAGGGTTTCTTTTTGGGGTGATAAAAATGTCTGGGAACTGAATAGTGGTGATGTTTGTACAACATTGGGAATGTGCTAAATACCACTGAATCACACTTTAGATGGTTAAAATGGTGAAGTTTATGTTGTGTGAGTTTTACCTCATTGAAATAAAAAAGGCTTCCTAGTATTTCGTTGTACGGCTTCACCGTTCATTTAACGTCTCAAATTAGCCTTTTATTACTACAAACAATATTGTGTTAAATGCATGTGTCCACACATGTGCCCATGTGTATCTGTAGGCCAATAGCCTTTTAAATGCCTATAGGATTTGATTTCCCTGCAGCTAGGCTAGGAGGCTCCACCCCAGGTTTGTTTCCATCCGGGCAGTGGGTCACATGGCGGCAGCCTCAGACCATCCATAGGAGTGTGCCCACGAGGACAGCAGCCACCTCCTAGAACCTTATCCTCTGCAAATCTTCACCCACAGGTTATTGACATTCAAGGCCTTTGCCCAGCTCTTCATCTTGGGATGCTCCTGGGTCTTGGGCGTTTTCCAGATCGGACCCATGGCTGGTATCATGGCCTACCTGTTCACTATCATCAACAGCCTGCAGGGGGCCTTCATCTTCATCATTCACTGTCTGCTCAACCACCAGGTATGTAGCTGCTGCCCTCGCTGCCCCTACGCCCCCCCCTTCCAGGGGACATGCCTGTGCCAGCATCTGAGAGGGATTCCTCTCCTTGTGATGTGTCTCCATCTCCAGGTTCGAGAAGCATACAGGAGATGTTTTACCAGGAAGGCCAAATCCAGTTCCCAGGTGTCCCAGACTTCAGGGATCTTTCTGTCATCCATGTCCTCCAATTCCAAGACGGAGAGAGACTGAGTGGTTTATGTAGGTTCTGCTTGAACAGAATGCTTGTTTCTTAGCAATACTAAATACTGCTGTGTGTTGAGTACCTACTGTGAGCTCTGTGTGTCCATGCCTTTTAGCCCATTTGATAGAGTGTAGGGTTTAAGAGTAGGGGGTTCAGGAGCCATGCTGCCTAGGTGTAAATCTAAGCTCTGCCCCTTAGCAGTTATGTGACCTAAAAAAGATCAAATCATGACTCATACAGATAGAAAATGAGGGTACGTTAAGGATTTTATTCTACCCATTAATTAGTGAGGGAACCAGACAGATGTTATAACTGGATCAAAAGAGAATGCAAAGAACAGACATATATGTACATAACATATACAATGTATATAATATATAATAATACATAAGATATAATATATACAATGTATACATAATGCATAATATATATTACACAATGTATATATGATAGATAATACATAATACACATATAATATATACAATGTATACATAGTACATAATATATATTACATAATACATATATAATGTACACAATGTATATAATATTTAATAATACATAATACACATATATACAATGTATGCATAGTACATAATATATATTACATAATACACATATAATATATACAATGTATGCATAGTACATAATATATATTACATATTACATATATAATGTACACAATTTATATAATATATAATAATACGTAATACACATATAATATATACAATGTATGCATAGTACATAATATATATTACATAATACATGTATAATGTACACAATGTATATAATGTACACATAATACATTATATATGTTATGTGATAGATATATATGTCTATTCCTTGCTGTTCTCTTTTGAATCAGTTATAACATCTGCCCGGTTCCCTCATTAATAATTATATACATAAAAAATATATAATATAACATATAATTATATCTTACATAATTATTGTAGATATAATTATTAATATTATATAGTATAGACAAAAGTTCATATATACCTATGTGTATTATATATGTATTGCACATATATGAATTATAATACATACATATAATACATACACACATATAATATCGAAATGAATGTGCAAATGGAGGCAAAACAATTTTCTCCATGGAATTATTTTGCATCACTGTCAGTTATTTAAAATTTACAGAATTGGAAAATAGCTCCCACATAGGTCAGAATCAAATAACCCAGAGAGGTGTCCCCTGACAATGCATCGTCTTCTGCTGAAGCACTCATTTTTCTCTACACAATAGATTTCCTCCAGTCTCACAGCCATAAACACCATCTATTAACAGTGACTCCCAAATTTTAAATAATGTGCAGTCCAGCCCCCTTTCCTGAGTTCTAGACTCATATAACCAACCACCTGCCAAACACCCCACTGAGATGTCTAATAGATGTTGCAAATGTAACATGTTCCAAACTGAGCTTCCGAGCCCCTCACCTCTCATTTTCACGGAGGATCCCCTATCCTCCTATTGCTCAGCATAAAGCTGTGGCGTTATCCTTGACTCTGCTTTTCTTCTTACCCTCCATCTCCGATCTATTGGCAAATACTGTTGACTCTTCCTCAGAGTGTATCCAGAATCTGATCGCTTTTCTTTGCCTTCACTGCTTCTATCGTGGTCCAAATCCTATTGTCTGTAGCCAGGATTATGGAAATAGCCTCATAAGGGGTCTTTCTGCTTCCCCTCCTGCCTTTTCCCTGCCCTGCCTTTGGTCTGTTCTCCCTGAAGCAGCCAAAGGGCATGTGTGAACTCCTGAGTCAGGTCACATCCCTTCTCTGCCTACAACCCTCCATGGCTCCCACCTTACTCAGAGTAAAAGCCAAAGTCCTCCTGATGGCCCACAGGTGCTGTATGATCTGACCCTCTTTTCCTCCTTGATCTCATCCTCTGTTAATCTCACTTCCCTCTGCTCCACCCACACTGATCAGCTCAGGATTCTTCAGACACTCCAGACTCACTTCCTTGAACTAGATGCTCACTCTGCCTTGAATGTTCTAGTCCTGATACCCATATGGCTGACTCCCTCGCCTCCCTCACCTCCTTCAAATCTTTGTTCCAATCATTTCCTATCAATAGCATTTGCTCTGACAACTCTATTTTGTACTGCTTCCTTTTCTCCTACCCCGACATTCATGCTTCTCCTGCCCCCTAATCCTGATTTTCTTTTCACAGTGCCTTCCACTTTCTAACATGCTATAAATAACTAATTTATTTCCTTTATTATTTATGGGCTTCTACCTACACTAGACTGCCTTATTTCTTCACTGATGTACTCCAAGCTCAAGTAACTAAGATCCATTGGCTTAATTAAATAGGGAATTATTTTTCTTGAAAGAATAGAAGCCCAGAGTTAAGTGTTGCTGATATTGGTTCTATTGCTCAGTGATATTGTAAAGAATCTAGGCTTTTCCTAGTTTTCCATTCCATTAGCAGCATGCTGGCTTTTCATCAAATTATTTTCATGGTTGCAAGATGGCTGCCATAGCTCCAGACATCGCAACCACATTCAAGGCAGGAAGAAGAGGGATGGGGCAGAAGCAGCAACCTCTCCTTTCGTGCCTCTCCCTTTAACAGAAAACAGAAGCTTTCCCAGAAACCCCTCAGCAGATTTCCCTTTCACCTAATTAGTCAGAACGGCATCACATGACCACCCATAGTTACAAGAGAATTTAACAAACCAAGCATTCGGCTTTCTAGCTTCTCGAGGGGGAGCTATCAGTGGTGAAGAGGTTGAGAATGGCTTTTGAGTTTGCCAGCAGTGCCTCACATGCTAGGGATGATCACTGTTAACATTTTAACGTTTATCCCTCTAGTCTTTGTTGCTGTATTGATCTCTCTCTGTATGTATAAGATGCATGACCCTATAGATCTGACCCCTGGGGTCACATTTGTACTCATCCTGCCACTGATTCTGATTGTGATTTCTCTCTCACAGGGTTAAAGCCCCTTCTTGCTTTCAAGTATGCTATGGAGCAACATTTGAGCACAGCAGGTGCCTGGCAGGAGCCAACTCTGAAATCTTCTCTTTGTGGCTTAATTTGGAAATGCAGGGTCTCCCCAGCCCCAGAACACTCTGGGCCATTTGGAGCATGGATGGGCGGGGCGATCCTCCCATGGTTTCATGTGCTGGTGAGAAACGAGAGTTTCCGTTCCAGATTACCATTTTATCTTCCGTGTTCTGCAACCCTTTGAATTTCCAGAGTTTTGTGGAAATAATAGACCCCAGTGCAATGGCATGACCAAGAACATCTGGCTACCATTTTGTTTTCCTCTAAGTTCTCTGGTGCATGTCTCTAAGTGTGCCTCTCCAGCACCTGTCTCGTGCCTGACACACACAGCAGCCCTCAGGGAATGACTTGTCATCTGACCGACTGGCTGACGTTTTGACACAACCTCTTCCTGCTTTTAAAGGAATGGTCAGTAAAATGCTAATGAGAGCCCCAGGGGATAAATAAGGGACACAGTCGTAGAGGCTACTTTGGCACAAACACTGAAAAGAGTTATGTTGATAATCAGAAGTGATTGATGGAGCAGAATTCCAGCGTTTCATGGAGAGTTGAAGTACATGATGACAAAACCCTTGGGAAAACCTTCTAATTTCTTGGGACATTTCAAGGAAGCAACATCCCCCTTTCTTCCAGGAACTTTTTTGTGACTTGACTAGGACTCGCACTGCTCCCAAAGTTATCGCCATCCCACCTTGCTCTCCGTCTCCCATAAAATCTTGAGGGCCACGGAGAGAAGGAGGCGAATTTTAAATGTAGATCTCCTCCCTTCCACAGCCAGTCTCAAACACACCTACTCAAGGTGTGGTCCATGGACCAGAAGCATGAGCATCATTTTGTTAGAAAAGCAGCATCAAAGGTACCACCGCAGATCTTCGGAACCAGAACCTGCATTTTAACAAGATCCCCAGGGAATTTGTGTTGTACACAGGAGTGAATGTTCTGGCATATTCTAGAGTATTCTTTTGTTTTCCATGCTGACAGAAGAGCTTGTCTTTAAAACTAGGCAGGAAAACATATCCTCGACTTTGGGACTTTGCATCTGCCATTCTCTCTTCCTAGGACAACTTTCCTCAAAATCGGACTAATTTCTACCCTCTCTTCGAGTCTCAGCATAGTCATCAATTTCACCAGGAAGCATTCTCTGAATCTCTTGAAGTAGGATTAGGTGTCACCTCTGTGTGTCCTCTAAGGCTTCATGATTTCTAGCCTTGTGTGATCATTTCTTCTCTTCTTGAGTGTCTCCAACTGGACTGTGAGCTCCATAATTACAGGGAATGGCATTCAGTTGATTCTCCATAAATAAGTTGAATGAATGAATGATTACTTTCCATTTTGAAGATGAAGAATTTGAGGCTCAGAGAGGTTAAGTAACTTTGTCAGCATCACACAGATGACTGGGCTGGGCTTTGAGTTCCTGACCACAGAGCTCCTCTTCCAGACCCCTAGTCCTTCTCTTTCTCTTTCTTGGACCCTAGGAATTCTTAGTTTGGGGATACAAAGGAGATGCTACATATTTACTTTGAGTCAACTTACCATTTAGGATTCAATTAGCTCAGTAATCACCCTGTGCTGAACAATTTGATCACAACGTTAAACTTGGTTGATGCGGGCTCAATCTTTGTTATTTGTGACAGCCACGACTCGGGAGAGGGTGCTGACACATGTTCATTTATGATAGATTGGTCTTCAATGCTTGGCTTGTCCAGTGTTCAATACAGAGGTGACAATTCTAGGGGATATTGAAGCAAGAGATGGCGTGGCCTTTACCATAGCCAATTGTGGTAGGTTGATTGCATCAATGGCCTCAAGAATGGTTTCCATGTCTCCATACCCCTTCCCTGGAGCTTTGTAACCATTCCTGCTCTCACTATGGCTTGGCCTTGAGACTTGCTTTGGCTAATGGAATGTCAGCAAGTGTGACTCAGACAGAGTGTGCATTCCTTCTTGCCCGTTACACGATAAGTCTCGCTTGTTCTTGCACCCCTGCCTCCGCCATGAGAATGTGCCCAGGCTGAACTGCTGGAGGGATGTGAAAAATGTATGGAAGACAGTTAAGTCATTCCATTATACCAGCTGAGGTTGTCCTTAATCAGCCATCTGACCAACTTGTAGCTGACTACAGTCACATCCATGAGCCCAGTCAAGATCAGCAGACCTGCCCGGGCAACCCAGACTCAGGAGCCACAATCAAGTACCATTATTTTAGGGCACAGAGTTTCAGGAGTGGTTTGTTAACGAAGTATTCTTGGTGGAAGTTGCTAACTGATTCAGCAACCAATGGATTGTCAATGTTTTGCATTTGACTGCAACAATTTGGAACATACAAAGAGGGTGATTCGCATCTTCATTTCCTCTTAGCTGTCAGGATCTGTAAATCTAAAACGCTTGAATAAAGTTCTTTCTGACAGAAGACTTGCACACGGCTTTGTCTGTCTCGACAACAGTGAAACATGTTGGTTTAAAATACTGTCGTCTTCAGGAACCCTGTGTTTCTAAGCTGAGTGAAAGCGGTGACCTCCACAATAAGGATTTTTCTTATTATAAACATCAACCTACACTTGTTACATTCCTTTACCCCTGTGGCCTCATATGCCTCCACTAGAGAGAGGAAAGAGACTCAGAATAAAAATGGCATGGTTCTCAGGGCCAGCCCCATGGCTGAGTGGTTAAGTTTGCACACTCTGCTTCAGTGGCCCAGGGCTTCACCAGTTCGAATCCTCGGTGTGCACATGGCACCGCTCATCAGGCCATGCTGAGGTGGCATCCCACATGCCACAACTGGAAGGATCCACACCTAAAAAAAAATACACAACTATGTACTGGGGGACTTTTGGGAGAAAAAAGAAAATTAAAAATATTTTTTAAAAAACCTGCATGGTTCTCAAATCCCATAAATATAAAGTGAAATAACTCTGTCCTTTTATAATCCAAATAATTTATGGTATCCAAAAATGGAACATCCTTTCACTCAAGAAATATTTATTGACCACCTACCGTGTACTTACCCCCAAATGCTAAAAGTCATTGAAAAAATATTGAAAAATTGAAAAGTAAGGATATTAGAACTGAAAACATTATTTTAGATTTATACATTTTATCTTTCCTCAAACTAGAATTTATTAAAATTTGACTTCCTTGGTTATAATGGAAGCAAACTCATCAATAATATTTTCCAAATCAACTTCTACAAAAGAATTAACCATTAAAAAATACATTATAAAAGTGTATGTATTACTGCCTACAAGCATAGGTTCTTTACCCACCACACAAAGGGGCCAAATAAAAACTGGAATACCAGGGTTACAGCAAGGAAAGCATCTTTATTTCAGATGACATCAGCCAGGAGAAAAGAGTGAGCCCTCAAATTTGCCTTGTTTCGTCTCATCTCCCAGAAAGAGGGGAGACGAGGGGTTTTAAAGGTTTGTGAGGAATGTGGCTGCTTATAGAGAGGTGGGGGCGGGTGTCAGTGGCCTTGCTGGTCAGAGTTTTCCCACCAGCTTGCATGTGGCCTTGGGACACTGTTTGCCAAAAGGAGGAGGAGATGATAAATAATCCAGGTGGGTGACGTTGGCTCTTTGTCTTCATGGCAGATAGTGGATTTCGGAGCAAGGGAGCCAGGGAGTAAGCAGGGAAAGCATGCTTTTGTTTTAAACCCACTTAGGCTGGGTTTAATGTAGGGGAGCTGGCATCAATTCCTCCCTATTTTATGTTCATTCCTCAATCTTGAGGGATTTGGGGCGATGACCCATCTAGCTACTTCCTGCTGAATTGGGGCGTACATTGTTTTATCTCATTGAACCAGTCTTTTAATAAGGCAGTGATGCAGTTGGTCTCCCCAAGTTAGGCCTATATCATGTAAATTAGTAACTAGATATTTAATAGGAAGCATTTCTAGAGAAATAAAAAGAAAAAACGAGGTTAATGGTTGGAGTAAATGATACATCAGTTCCTGAACCCTGGGGGCAGCCAACCAAGAATCCTAGAAGTCATGGTCAAAGCATTTTTTTGTACCTTGAAATGTCTCTGATGGTGTCATCGGGAACTCAGGTGCCTTTTCTGAGTGGCTTACACAGGAGCAGACATGAATTTCTCTCCAGTTTACATCAAGTTCTCCAGCTTCAGTTTTTAAGGCTTCAGGAAAAAGGGCAGCCTTAGTTCTCTGTGATTTCAAATGAAAATGATGGGAAAAAATGGAAAACATTCGTTTGGAGATTTGTTATTTCAGATATTTCAGGAGCCTAGAAGAATTCAGCATCCAGTCCAGTTTACAGACGTAAAACAAAAACCTCAAAGACAATTAATAGAACCAGAATCTAGTATTCATGAAAGTGTATTATGCCTCCATGGAAACATAATTTTTCTCTCTAAAATCACCCTCAATTTTACCAAGCACCACCAAATTAAGACTAACTGGGTTGCAAAATAAGTTTAGTTTTAATAAATTTGGCTCAATTATTTACACAAGTACAGCAAGAATAGCAATTGGCCATATAGGTTCTTTTAAATCTGCTTTGCTGGAACTTTTTATAAGGAATCTCAGGTTGAACTTTAAAGGCCTCTCAAGGTCACAAAAGCCAGACCAAGAACTTATCATCAGATTCTGCCTGCAATACCTACAGGTTTGGGTGAATTCCTCTCTTCTGAGGTCCCCTAAATATTGAGGTTCTTTGTAACTGCCAGAGGGAGTGACATTCTTTACTCAACCTTACCAGGTCACCAGGACCCCGTAAGCAAGGTACCGGGCCCATATTTCCAAATGACTTTATTCCAGAAAGTCAACCTTCATTCCTCAAAAGCTGTCTGGTCATATCTGAGCCTGTATGTTTTTCTCAAATATGACATTCCAGTAAAAGCCTTGGTAATATAGTTAGTTTCCAATTGTGTTTTGTTATAAGAACAGATTCTTATTGAACTTATACAAACAACTATATAGCCATGAAAATAAGGATACTTACTCACTAAGAATTTCCAATTTGGAGGGATAAAGTAGGGAGAGAAAGATAAATGTTTCCATTTTGTTTACAAATGGATAATTTTATCAAATTTTATAAGTTATAGTTAGCACAAGTGAAAAGAGGAAAAGATTTCCTTAAATATGACAAAATAAAACACAAAACATTAACAAAATTAGCAATATTTTAAACAAGAATTCGTGAAGATTATAATCATCTCTGTCAGTTCATTTAGTTTTATGTACCTAACTCTTGACCTTCTGATGGCAGTTTCAGGAGGCCATCAGTTTTTCTGTTACAATTCTGTAATTTTTTATCCAGCTCAGTTTTATAATCTGAAGCCTACATTTTAGAGCTAGCGTTAGAGTCCTTTTCATGAATTTCTCTGAAGACGAAACATATTTACAAAGATATCAGAGTGAAACACCTGTCTGCAAATAATAAAAAATTTAAAAATGGCAATTGACAAAGAAACATGGCTATTTTTGTGACATAATATTCAAGACAACAACCAGAATTGTGACTGACAATCAGAACAGAGCAGAACTTTAGTAACGTTATACGATTTTTTAAATATTTATATCACTAACACTTATCCAGATAATACCATCTAAGAAAGTTTATCGTTACTCAGGTGACAGTGTTTCCCGTGTAATTTAATATACCAAATAAGCCCCCTTAGTTTAGTATTTTTTTCTTAGCGGAAGAGAGAAAATTCCTCTGAGAAGTCTCAGGGGTCCCCTGAAAAATCTCCAGAGAAGTTTTTTCTCCTCTTCCAGGTCAAAAGAAAGCTTGTATTCAGGACTTGAATATTTTTGTGAGGGGGGAGCTTGTTAAAAATATTAAAAGGTTTAAAACATGTGTTCAGATAGGAAACAATATTCATTGAGAAACCATGTTCAGCTAACTACTTAAAGTGACAACAGAAACACTCAAGCAGAAACAGAGTTAAAATATTCAAAAAGACCTTTCATAATTTTTTTAAATCAAGAGCAGATAAAAAGTTTAGGAAAATTATCTTTTTAAGAAAGAGAAGACCAAGTTTTAATTTTGCACCAGTTTACATTTGACATTAAAACTTTTTATTTAACTAAATTTTTTAAAATCTTAGCCAACTTGACCATACATAAAACTCTTCAGGGTTTTACCTTCATAAACTTTGTGTCACTTACTTTTTTATATTTAGAATTTGTCTTAGGTTTTCTTTTTTCCCTTCTAGTACTTTAGGACAAATTTATCTTTATTTTAAGCCAAGTAAAAATATTTTTATTTTTTATACCTTCTTACTGAAAATATACATTTTACTTTCCTTGAATACAAAGATTTTTTTATTACTTTTAGTAGATTTAATTACATATATTAATCAGAATTTTTAACCCTTAGAAACCTGAATTTCTAAGTAAAAACCAAGTAAGCAACTATAAACTTTTCTTTACATTAACGTTCTGTAGCTTGACAAATTTACAAAGACCTTCTATAATTTTTAGAAACATCTTCCTTTATAGGAATAAAACACAAGGTGTGTATATGAATAGACCCAAACACTTTTTAGTTTCTCTGTAATAAGAAGCCAACAGTAGATAAACTTAGACATGTTTAGCAGTAATGTTTCAGTGTCCCATCCTATCCAAAAATGACCCAGGTATTCAACAGCTTTTGTCATTTAGCTTAACTTAGTAAAAACTCTAAAGTTTGTTTCCAAAAAGATTTTGGAAGCTGTTTTTTAAAGTACATATACCATAAAATATAACTATCATACTTAAAAACTCTTACCCGGTTTTAAGAATTATGTATTAATTACTCTTGAAAACTTCACGTGGCATTAGAGCAGTTAATCATCATCTTAAATTGTTTTTTTAAAATTAAGATTATGATAGATTACAACCTTGTGAGATTTCAGTTGTACACTACTGTTAGTCATGTTATGGGTACACCACTTCACCCTTTGTGCCCTCCCCCAAACCCCCCCCCCTTTTCCCTGGTAACCACCGATCAGTTCTCCTTGTCTATATGTTAACTTCTACCTATGAGTGGAGTCATATAGAGTTCATCTTTCTCTGTCTGGCTTATTTCACTTAACATAATACCCTCAAGGTCCATCCATGTTGATGCAAATGGGACGATTTTGTCCTTTTTTATGGCTGAGTAGTATTCCATTGTGTATATATACCATATCTTCTTCATCCAATCATCTGTTACCGGGCACTTAGGTTGGTTCCACATCTTGGCTATTGTAAATAATGCTGCAATGAACATAGGGGTGCATGGGACTCTTAGAATTGCTGATTTCAGGTTCTTAGGATAGATACCCAGTAGTGGGATGGCTGGGTCATAAGGTATTTCTATTTTCAACTTTTTGAGGAATCTCCACAACTGTTTTCCATAGTGGCTGCACCAGTTTGCATTCCCACCAACAGTGTATGAGGGTTCCTTTTTCTCCACAACCTCTCCAACATTTGTCAC